TTTACATACATTAAGTTGACTGTGCCTTTAAACAGCTTGGAAAATTCCAGACAATGATGTCATGGCTTTAGAAGCTTCTGATAAGCTAATTGACATCATTTGAGTCAATTGGAGGTGTACCTGTGGATGTATTTCAAGGCCTACCTTCAAACTCAGTGCCTCTTTGCTTGATATCATGGGACAATCAAAATAAATTATGTGGATATATTGAAGCAACATCTCAAGACATCAGTCAGGAAGTTAAAGCTTGGTCGCAAATGGGTCTTCCAAATGGACAATGACCCCAAGCATACTTCCAAAGTTGTGGCAAAATGGCTTAAGGACAACAAAGTCAAGGTATTGGAGTGGCCATGACAAAGCCCTGACCTCAATCCTATAGAACATTTGTGGCCAGAACTGAAAAAGCATGTGCAAGCAAGGAGGCCTACAAACCTGACACATACACCAGCTCTGTCAGGAGGAATGGGACAAAATTCATCCAACTTATTGTGGGAAGCTTGTGGAAGGCTACCTGAAACGTTTGACCCAAGTTTAAAAAATGTAAAAGGCAATGCTACCTAATACTAATTGAGTGTATGTAAATTTCTGACACACTGGGAATGTGATGAAAGAAATAAAAGCTGAAATAAATCTGCAAAGGGTAAGACTATAAATCTACAAAGGGTAGACATCAACACAGTTCCATTTTAATCTACTGGAGCTAGTTGTACTCTGAATAACGGGAGGATAGCCATTATTGGCCATATGAGGACAAGGCCACACCCTCACCTTTCAGAGAACTGCGTGCAGTCAGACATGAGGTCACATATCCTGAGGCCGCTGCGGGCTGCTTTGGCTGAGTACACCGAGCCAATACCCTTTTTCGTTGTTCCGAGGCTGGGTGAGGAATACACGGAACAATACGGAGTCACTGTCTCGACATCAACCACACGCACCGGTCCAACATGTTTTTGTGTGTGACTGTAGGGTCAGACGTGATGGAGTTGTAGGGAAGTGGCTACTATTCTAAGGAGTGTTTATGGGGCTGGAACATCGCCTGCTGCCCTGTGCTGACTGAAACAATGCTGCTGCAGTAAGGGTTGGAGAGCATCATCACAGTCACATGGTGCACAAGCTGCTAGGGGATATCTGGTGACGTAACGTCCCTCGTCTGATGTAGGGATGATTTATCAGTGAGGATATAAGTGGTCTTCTGGAGCTGAGACAGGGTATTATGAGTACTAACCCCTCCAGCAAGATGGCAAAAGAACACAGGTCAGGTCCAACATGAGACCCCTGGGACAAGTCATGCTAATACTGCAGGAGATCTAATCTAAGCCTCTGTGTCTCTGTCTCTCTAAGAGGTAAGAGTGAAGTTGTAATGCCTTAAGGTGTTGAAATTCCACAACTGGTGATATAAGCCTATAATGACTTGCCCTTTTAGCACCCATGGGAAAAAACTGGTACAATACATAGCTGTTGAGAAGAACGTATCAGGACGGTGGGCTTATTTTGGGCTTATTTTGATCCTACACATAAGCTTAAAATGCCCTGCATATCAGAGTGCTGTCCTGTGTCTAAACCGTGCTTGCCACCCTCTTCTCAGAACCGGATTGGGTGCCTCCATTACATTACTAACTGGTAACAACAGTAACCTGCAATAGTTACATGACTAACTGGTAACTGTAACATGCAATAGCTACATTACAGTGTAGGATTTGTTTGCTTTCTCCAGAGGACATTGTTGGATAGTTTCTTTCCTGTTCCGTTTCCATACATGATGAATAATACAGTGATGTATTACTTTAGGAGAGACCATTGCCAAAATTATATTCCTGAATATGGAATAAACCCCAGTCTACAGTATGAGAGAAAAATGAGGCTAATCACAGCTACTTCTTTCAGGCAGAACTGTTAAAACACTGAAAACAGCTCCACAACAACGGTTCAGAGAAACAAAATGGAGGTATTTTATATTTGACATCTTTGGAGACTTTGCAGTCAGTTGAGGTTGTTCCAGTACTTATGCTAGCTAGACTAAACAGGTTTATACTGTGTATCCGCCGTAGGAAGGGAATCTTGTTTTTCAGCTTTGCTTCAAGCTGGAGTCAGTTACGGTTGTTTCATCTTACAAGGCTGGACGCATGGAAGGGCTAATATACTACACATTCGCCCCCAGAAAATCCTGTTTTACAGCACAGCTGCATGCTGAACCATTACTGAGCCATACTCTCTAAACCAGGAGAATGACAGGTGGCAGGGTTCTTACTGCTTGCCCACTTGCTCTAGTCTCTGCTACTCTTTCACACCGTTGACCACTTGGTGGAAATCAAACACTGTGCGAGAAGGTAGAAGGGAAAACTCACAATCCTGGTCACCTCGCCCCCCCCCCCCCCCTTTCTGCTCCTCACTAAAACCTAGCCTAGTGTCCCAATTATCTCCCTTTTCTCCCCGGAAGTGTGCCCTTGTGCACTCGACTCCTCCCCACACCTTTAAAAGCATTGGATTGGTGTAAACTTGGACTAGAGGGAGTTGGAGAATCCACAATAGTTCTGACACAAATCCTTTCCTTTAAAATCCATGAAGGGACGTGAACAGTAGTGTCTGTCTCGCTCATCCATTGAGGACTGGCCCCTATAAAATCAGATTTTTTTTTGCCTGATTCCGTTTGTGCCTTGGTGCCTTAGCAAGGCCACTTTAGGGACTATAGGGCCCTATAATTTTGTAGCGCACATGTGATGGTCTGCAAAACAAATACCCACTGGATGGATGCAAACAATAATGATATCATTCTGCCAGGTAAGCATAGGCTACTTTGTAGTTAACATTTAATTGAGAAGGTTTTTGGGAAAGCCTTTCCAGCTACCAGAAGCCTTTTCATTAGCATCATCGCTAATGGCTACACAAAGTGGTAGACGAGTGCGCCGCACATACACAGAGACAGGGAATTCTCCTTGCCTCTTCAGAAAGTTGCAGGAAATACGAATCACTGATGCATTTTGTTCATGTCTTATGATAAACTTGGGCAAATTAAAACATTTTCAATACAATTAGTTGACTGAATAATGTAGCCTAATATGAAAAATGTATGCACTCACTAACTGTAAGTCGCTCTGGATAAGAGCGTCCGCTAAATGACTCAAATGTAAAAATGTAATAAAGGCGACCACAAGTCATTCTGCTTTTCACAACAACAAAATCTGTGCTTCTTAACAGTCAATAGTGAACATGATTGTGGACTACAGAAAAAAAAAAGAGGACTGAGTACACCCACATTCTCATCGACGGGGCTGTAGTGCAACAGGTTGAGAGCTTCAAGTTCCTTGGTGTCCACATCACCAACAGACTATTCATGGTCCAAACACACCAAGACAGTCGTGAAGAGGGCACGACAAAGCCTATTCCCCCTCAGGAGACTGAAAACATTTGGCATGGGTCCTCAGATCCTCAAAAAGTTCTACAGCTGCACCATCGAGAGCATCCTGACTGGTTGCATCACCGCCTGGTATGGCAACTGCTCGGCCTCCGACCGCAAGGCACTGCAGAGGGTAGTGCGTACGGCCCAGTACATCACTGGGGCCAAGCTTCCTGCCATCCAGGACCTCTATACCAGGCGATGTCAGAGGAAGGCCCTCAAAATTGTCAAAGACCCAAGCCACCCTAGTCATAGACTGTTCTCTCTGCTACCGCACAGCAAGTGGTACCGGAGCGCCAAGTCTAGGTCCAAAAGGCTTCTCAACAGCTTCTACCCCCAAGCCATAAGACTCCTGAACAGCTAATCATGGCTACCCAGACTATTTGCACTGCCCCCCACCCCACCCCATCCCCCTCTTTTACGCTGCTGCTACTCTGTTTTATTATTTATGCATAGTCACTTTAACTCTACCCACATGTACATATTACCTCAATTACCTCGACTAGCTGTTATTTTATTTTACTGCTGCTCTTTAGTTATTTGCTTTTATTTGTTTTCTTAACACTTTTTTTTATTTGTTTTACTTTGCATTGTTGGTTAAGGGCTTGTAAGTAAGCATTTCACTGTAATGTCTACACCTGTTGTATTCGGTGCATGTGGCAAATACAATTTGATTTTACTCGCCCTAGCAGAGCTGGTTAGGATTTTTTCATGTTATCTATTGGCAACAATTTCATTAAATTTTTTGGCCGACGTTTACTGACACCGTTCATATTCGACGGGTGTTGTGTGTTCGTAAATTCATCAGTTATTCTGCGCTCTGGCACACTCCGATGAAGGTGCTCTGAAATCGGAGTAGATAGCCAGAGTGAATTTACGAACGCACCCATAAATATTTGGCTGTCTGGAATGCAGCCACAACGCCAAAAAAAGAGCGAGCCAAATGATTTTACCCGCCTCTGTGAGCTAGCAAGTGGCTAAATATTAAGCTAGACAGGATGAGGGGGTTACCTTTTTTTCTGGCTCTCCTTGTACTTCTGAAAATCCAATTAATCGTTGGAGTATGGAGGTAATTAAACTAGCTAACTACCCAATCCCCCCAAAATATATTAGCCAGCTAGATAACATGGACGAACGTTATTAGCAAGCTTACATAGCCTCTTGGTCTCTTTTTCGCTAGCTAGCTAAGCTTACAAAAAGGGAGCATCAAGTAGCTAGCAATGTTTTAATGTAAATATAGTCTATGAATTTATTTTACAGATACAATAATATTTTGGAGGATGAAAACTTATTTACATTAAAAAATGCGGTAAGTACTCTTAACTTCTAACTAATGACAAAGACACTAGCTAGCAAACGCTAATGCTAGCTAGCTATATTAGCCAACAATACGCTAGATTGGTTCCACTAGCAATTAAAACAATTCAGATGCATGGGAAGAATATGCATATGCTTGGAAGGAATATATATTTCCTACTGTTCAATTTCCCATTGATTATTGTTAAATATATACAATTAGTTACACTCTTTTCATATTATAACCCCAAGTATAATGTTGAATTAGCTACTCAGACTTCAGTGTGTTTAAAACTAGTATTATATTTAGGTCTTCCTCAAGTATGATGGATCTGACTTTGTTGAATGGGAGTATCCAGAGTCCTGTAATGTCAACAACAAAAGGTAAAGGAAAAATATGATGGAACAGTCACCATTTGGCATCTGCAGATGTACTGTATGTAATTATTGATCAATATTTTACAGTCCATTACAGTTCCTCATGGGTTTTAAAGGATACCTTCATTGCCTTGACTTCTATCTGGCACTACTGTTTTTATTGTGAACCCCATTTAGCTCCCCAAATGCCATCATGAAATGCACTTCTCCTGGTTTCCAAATGGTAAAGCCATTGGTGTCCGTAAGTACCTTCTTAATTTGAACTGAATGTTAACAAAAAATTATTCCATCAAAAAGCCTTAATGTTTAAATTGTTATTTATTTGTAATACTTTATATTTCATGATTTGAACAGTCACCAGAGGAAGAAGAGACACGTTATCTTTTCATCAGTGATTCGTTTTTCAGTTTTATCTGGTATGCTGTAGTGCCAATTGACAGGTAAAATACTATTCTCTGTATATATGTGGATTATGGATTCTAGCTTTTTTGTGTGTTGATAATGGCTGTTTTAAAATGTTCTCCTTTAGAGGTTCAACAGAAACAAGCTCCAAGGTAAAATAGACTTTACAACACAAAGCTTTAGTAGTAAATGGCAGCTTAACGGAAAGATCCTCTTAACTTATTTCAGCAATGTAAATTGTGGCAGTTTTTCTTTCAGAAAGTGAGAATGTGGATCATTGATCCTGAGCAAGCAGACCCTGCTGAAATTAACAACACTGCACTTGTACCCTCAACGGTGAGACCAGTTCTGGCATCGTCATCTCTGTCAGAAATTCATCAAAGTATCTCAATTGTACTTACAATTTTCAGTTGCATTCATGTCCCTCAGCAATCCAGATATATCACTAAGCACTTCTACAATAAAGGACAGTATCCAGTGATCACGTTAACATCTAAGCAGACACATCTGGGGCATTTCCAGAAAGATGGGTAAGCATACCACCCTAAAAGAATGGCAGAATAAGCCATGTCAATAAAAAACGAATTCTGACATTCCAATAATACACAATATATACTCTCTACCATAGGTACTGGGAAGCAGTCATCCCTGGTGATGAAAAATACAACGATTTTCACATTTATGGTCAGCCAATCAGTTTCCAGCATCGCTTTGTCATAGAAGGTCAGCACACATTCTACTGGCCAGAACCCACGGAGCCCAATGGGGAGAGGGAGGTGTCTTTGCGTCTGGCCCCAGGAAGCCCTTTATTACTGGTGTGGGGCACCTGTGAGCTCTACCACGGCCTGCTCCTCTCCGACACAGGCGCCCTCATAACCAAGAATGCCTTTCTCACCTCTGAGGAGCTGAAGGTGGACCCAGGATCATTGCCTGTCCCTCCCGAGGGATATTTCACTGTGGACCAAGCTGCTCTTCTTGAGGACGGCATCATATTTAGAATAGATGGCGCCCTCTACTGGAGGGACAACCAGGATCGTGTGCTGACAGAACATCCTCAACTTCCCACGAGTGGAGTGATGGGCCTCTATCAAAGAACGTGCTGCGCTAGTAACTACCCTGTTCAGGTAAGCATCAGCACCTCCCAAAGGGATTCAATGTGATTGAATGTGAAAATCTAAGTAAATGTGAAAATCAATGTCGTAGTCCTTCCATCTCCACATTTAATCACTTGTAAATAACTATGGTTTAGTCCAAATAAGACAGTCATATTGTTTCTCAATGCATTTTCTTCTGTATTTTCAGGATGTGGAACTGAGCTCTCTAATTGTGTGGAAAGACAATGTGTTGCTTGTGGGCCCAAAGCAATTAAAAAACCCGGGTAGGGCCAATTTCCTAAAAATTGTGTTGACGGTTCCTCCAACAGTCACCTTTTTAACAGCGTCATTCGGCTCCCACCCGGCCTCCCTGGCCACTTTGGTGATGAACTCCGTCCCAGGCGCCATCCCCCGCTCCTTCCTCACCAGTTACAACGAACTGGTCCCTAGTTGGATAACCAGCACATTCATGACCAAGTTTAAGCTGAAGGACATCCCCAAAGGTCCCTTTGAAATGCGTTTCCTGGAATCAGCCGACGCATCCCTGCTGCTGTGGAACAAAGAGACCATCCTCTACAGCTTTCACAATGACAACGAGTGGGGCGAGATCAGACCCTTCAACGCATCACACCTCAGTGCTGCAGCCAATGGCAGTAAGATTCACCAAGTGGCCTTGGGTAAGATCTCCTGACTCTTTTTGGTCCATTCAAAGACATGCTGTGATTCAATTGAACTAAGTTGTATCCATTTTTTTATTTAAACTACACTGAACAAAAATATAAATGCAACATTCAACAATTTCAAAGATTTGACTGAGTTACAGTTCATATAAGGAAATTCATTAGGCCCTAATCTATGGATTTCACATGCCTGGGTGTACAAATATGCATATGTTGGTCACAGATACCTTAAGAAAAGGTAGGGGTGTGGATCAGAAAACCAGTCAGTATTTGTATTGATTATGGATCCCAATTAGTTCCTGCCAAGGCAGCAGCTACTCTTCCTGGGGTTTATTATGGATCCCCATTAGTTCCTGCCAAGGCAGCAGCTACTCTTCCTGGGGTTTATTATGGATCCCCATTAGTTCCTGCCAAGGCAGCAGCTACTCTTCCTGGGGTCCAGAAAAATTAAGGTATTTATACATTTAAAAAACATTACAATACATTCATAACAGATATCACAGCACACTAAGTGTGTGCCCTCAGACCCCTACTCCACTACCACATATCTACAACACAAAATCCATGTGCACGTGTGTGTGTATAGAGCGTATGTTATCATGTGTGTGTATGCATGTGTCTGTGCCTATGTTTGTGTTGCTTCACAGTCCCCGCTGTTCCATAAGGTGTATTTTTATCAGTTTTTTAAAATGTGATTCTAATGCTTGCATCAGTTACCTGATGTGGAATAGAGTTCCATGTAGTCATGGCTCTATGTAGTACTGTGCGCCTCCCATAGTCTGTTCTGGACTTGGGGACTGTGAAGAGACCTCTGGTGGCATGTCTTGTGGGGTATGCATGGGTGTCTGAGCTGTGTGCCAGTCGTTCAAACAGACAGCTCGGTGCTTTCAACATGTCAACACCTCTCACAAACCTCTGTGTCTGCTATGACCACTATTTGCCTCATGCAGCGCGACACATCTCCTTCGCATAGAGTTGATCAGGCTGTTGATTGTGGCCTGTGGAATGTTGTCCCACTCCTCTTCAATGGCTGGTCGAAGTTGCTGGATATTGGCGGTAACTGGAACTTGACGCACGTCCTTCACAAGGCTGCAGAAAGGTTTGCAGCATGGAGAAGGTCATTTTCGCTGTCTCTGGGTTCCCTGCCGTGTTCGACCAAAGCGCCGATTGCTACCGGGACCTCCATGCTATAAATGCTGCATGGAGACACATTTGCCAATATGATTGGATTCCCTTGTCAGTTGAATGTGAAATAATTAGCTGGAAAGTGTAAGCTAGGTTCTGGCAATTTCTTAGCTAAGCTATCTAGCAAAGTGGTTCGACTGCTAGCTAGCTGGCTTGACTGTTTATTAACTTTTGTTTGTACCACCGCACGGTAAAGCAATGCACGAGTTGAAAATGTTGAACGCATGCGGTACACAGAACGCACCGCAGCCTAGTGCGGCATCCCCAAGCAGCGTTGTGGACAGCTCCAATGATTGACTTCCGTCGGAACGCAAAGAGTTTGACATGACGTGAGGCTGGAGGTGGCTTATGGTATTAAAATGAACATTAAATTCTCTGGCAACAGCTCTGGTGGACATTCCTGCAGTCAGCATGCCAATTGCACACACTCTCAAAACGTGAGACATCTGTGGCATTGTGTTGTGTGACAAAACCTTTTAATTTCCCCATTACAAGGTGCACCTGTGTAATGATCATGCTGTTTAATCAGCTTCTTGATATGCCACACCTGTCAGGTGGAAGGATGATCTTGGCAAAGGAGAAATGCTCACTAACAGGGATGTAAACAAATGTGTGCAGAAAATATTATAGAAATAAGCTTTTTGCATATGGAACATTTCTGGGATGTTTTTTTTCAGCTCATGAAACATGGGACTAACACTTCACATTGCATTTTCCTTGAATAAAAATTGGTGGGGCTTGCTTTAACTCTTTGCAAGTATTTTTGTTGTAGTGGAAGAACTGATGGAAGGAGGTTAAGTTGGACTGATTGGTGTCATAAAGGAATAAATGTATGTATGTATGTATGACGGGAGGTTGATGGTGTGTGTGGAGGGGGGGTAGTTATTGCTGTTCTGATTTGAACATCAGAGAAGTAGACCAAGGTGTCATACCCTCTTAAGTTTTTGTCTACGATGCGTTGTTGGGAAAAGTGGTCAAGGTAGCTGATTTGAGTCATGTCAATGTTTACTCATTGTGTCATGCTTAGAATGTGCTCCCCCATTGTTATCATTTGAAAGTTCAGAAAAGTTCCATGGTAGTTAATTCAACAGTAGTGAACGACTCCAGGGCAGGCGGAGCGGGAGGTTCCTGGTGGAGAGCCAGACGCGATCACCAGGATGGAACACGGGAGCCTCACTGCGGTGGCGATCCGCCTGCTCCTTCTGGCGGCAGGATTCTTTTGGAGTCGAGTCCCCACTACTATTCAACAGTGGGAAGTTAGCTAAAATAGTTGTGGTTACTAAAACAGCCGTACCTCTTGATTGGTAGTAGATATTTCTGCTCATATTTCCAGATTTGAATAGCACAGAAGTAAACCAAGATGTCATACCCTATAACTTTTTGTCTAACTAGTTGAGAAAGTGGTCAAAACGGCGGCAGTTTGAAAACAATTAGACAAAGTTGTTGATGCGGTTACTAAAACAGCTGTATCGTCCAGATTTGAAAAGCAGAGAAGTAGACCAAGAAGTTATACCCTCTAAGTTTTTGTCTAACTTGTTGGGAAAGTGGTTAAAGTAGCAGATTTGTGTCAAAGGTTACATCGTTTACAGTGACTGTTGGAAGTCATGATGTCACAATTGGGGGCTTTAGAATATTGAAAACAGTCCCATTAAAGTGAATGAATGGAAAAATAGAAAGCCCCAAAAATGAATAGTTTAAAATTATAAAAGATATCAAAACGTTAAATGAAAACAGTATTCCAGACCAGAAGGTGGAAGCAGGTGCAGAAGGTGAGTTTAATAATGAACAATGCAGATAAACAAAACATGAGAAGTGAATAGAACGTGAATGAAAACAAACCAATACTGCCAGATGACTGAGGCTACCAAGGCTAAATAAAGGGAAGGTAATCAAAGTGATGATGAGGTCCAGGTGTGCGTAATGATGGGGAGCAGGTGCACGTAATGATGGTTGCCAGGACCGGTGGTTAGTAGACAGGCGACGGTCCTGGCAACCATCATTACGCGCTCCTGCTCCCCATCATTACGTGCTCCTGCTCCCCCCCCAGGACAACACCAGCCAGGTGGACGGCCCCGAAGACGAGGAGCGGGCCGGACCGTACCCCCTCCCAGGCCTCCAGGTACTGAAGCCGACCCCCACAACGTCGGGAGTCCAGTAGGGACCTGACGGCATAGGCAGGGGTCCCATTGATGTCCAGGGGAGGCGGAGGGGTGTCGCCGGGCGGCGTAAGCCTGGGGACCAGGAACCACCGGCTTGAGGAGGGAAACCTGAAAAGAGGGTGAGATCCGGTAGTTGGTGGGGAGTTGTAAGTGGTATGTTACCTCATTGACCCTCCGGACGACCTTGAAGGGCCCCACAAACCGGGGGCTCAGCTTCCGGCAGGGCTGGCGGAGCGTGAGGTTCCTGGTGGAGAGACAGACGCGATCAACAGGGTGGAACACGGGAGCCTCACTCTGGCGGCAGACGGCGCGCTGAAACCTCACCAGGGCAGCGTTCCAAACCTCCTCTGTGTGCCGAAACCACTCGTCCATCGCAGGGGCTTCGGTCTGGCTCGGGGTCCACAGGGCCAGGGCTGGCTGATACCCCAGGACGCACTGGAAGGGAGTCAGCCCGGTGGAGGAGTAACGAAGTGAGTTCTGGGCGTACTCTGCCCAGGGAAGGAACCGGGCCAACTTCCCCTGCCGGTCCTGGCAGTGACTCCTAAGGAACTTCCCCAGCTCCTGGTTGGTCCTCCACCTGACCATTGGACTGAGGCCGGTACCCGGATGTGAGGGTGGCCGTGGCCCCCAGCTTCTCCATGAAGGCTTTCCATACCCGTGATGTGAATTGGGGGCCATGTCGGAGACTATGTCCTTCGGAAGGCCATAGTGCCGGTCTGGGCACCCTGCCGGAGTTGGAATAGTCGCTCACCTCCCTCTGCCCTCCGGTGGATGGTCGAAGACCGCCCTGAACAGAGCCATGAACCTCTCGTAGGAACCCAACTATTTCTCTCCTCTCTCCCATACGGCTGTAGCCCACTCCAATGTCCACCTGGTCAGTAGGGAAATGACCGTGGCGACCTTGGACCTCTTGGTGGTGGGGAATTCCGTCTGATGGGCAAAATAGGAGCACTGGAGTAGGAAGCCATGGCATTTGGATGGAGTACCATCATACTTGTCCGGGAGGGACAGTCGGGCATCACCTCCCTGGGCGGATAGCTGAGGGGCTGGCTCGCTATGTCGACTCGGTAAAAGGCCCTTCGCTAGTTGTAGGTGAATCCTCTCGGGTGGTGTCCAGGCGGTGGAGGACGCAGAGGACCTCAACCATAGCCACACCCAGTTGTGCCAGCTGATCGTGACGTTGACGGAGAAGGTGTCCCTGTTCACCGACCGTCTGGGAGATGTCTATCTTCTGCTGCTTCCATAATTCGTGAGGCAGTATTCTGTCACGTATACGCCGGGAGTCAGGAAGCAGGTGCAGAAGGTGAGTTTAATAATGAAGAATGCAGATAAACAAAGCATACAGAACGTGAATGAAAACAAACCAAAACTGCCTGATGACAGGCTGCTGAGGGCTAAATAAAGGGAAGGTAATGAAGGTGATGATGAAGTCCAGGTGTGCGTAATGATGAGGAGCAGGTGTGAATGATGGTTGCCAGGACCGATGGTTAGTAGACGGGCGACGTTGAGCGATTTGAGAGGGGGAGTGGAAGTAGGCATGACATAAGAGGAGTAGCGTGCAGAAAATAACTAGATGGTAATTGTACAATTGCTGGAATTGCTTTACCTCTTTTTAAAAAAAATCATTTTTGTGGTAGTGGTAGAAGTTTTACATTACTATTTAAAGC